TCCTCTTCCCTGACCCCCTTCGCCTCTGCCTGAGCCATGGGGGTGGGGGGCACGGAGATCCCGGTGGCTCCCGGCACCTTCTCATGCCCTCTCCTCTCCCCACAGAGTTCCGTCTCCCCAGACCTGTCCTCTCTGTCCTGCCTGGGAACGATGTGCCTGCAGGGGCTTACGTGACTTTCCGTTGCACCATCGCAAACGCCAGCGCTGGCTGTTTCCTCTACCTGGAAGGTCAGGTCAAAGAGACGGTTTTACTCCCCAAAGGAGATGATTTCACCATCGCCCGTGTGCATAGAGGAAAGGGGGGTCGCTACAGCTGCCAGTGTTTCACCGGGGCTACTCCAATGCAATGGTCTGCGGCCAGCCAGCCCCTGGAGCTGGTGGTGAGAGGTGAGACATCCCCCCTGCCACATCCCACTCTTCTCTTCCTACTCCCTGGCACCCGCCACGTCTTGGGGGAACTAGAAAGGAGGATGTTAGGGAAGAAAGCAGCTGTAACAGTAGCCAAGCAGAGGATTACAGCTGTTTTCAGATGCATTAGAGCCTTGCCAGCTCGTCAGAGATCCTCAAGATAGCCTACAGACCTTATAGACCCAGGGTTGCTAGGCTACCAGTTGCGGGGACGAGGGTCAGGGGACACCTCTGCCCTCACCGGGGATGGTTGTACATCTCGCCACAGCCCAGTGGCACCAAATGGCTCCATGCTCCTGTCCTCCTTCCCACCATCGTGCCACCGGGAGGGGTGTGGGGCAGGTGTCCTGGGGGCAGTTTTGTGGGAAGTGGCACCGACAGGAGCCCTTTGGGGTCCCTTTGAAATTCCCTTTATCCCTCTTTATCCCCGGAGCTCCCCAGCAGCCACATGTCCGTTCTCCCCGGGAGCCCCACGTGTATCCCTTGTGTCCCCTTGGGCCCCCGTTGGGAATCCTTTGGTCTGGGAGCTCCTGGGTGGGAGGGGGATCCTCCCGGAGCCCCCCAGTGATGGTCCCTCCCTGTCCCCTGCAGATTACACCTGGAGCAACGTGGCACGCCTGGCCCTGGGCGCCGGGGTCCTGCTGCTGCTGGCTCTGATGGTGGCCGAGGCCACGTGCA